GTGGTGTGTATCAAACAATACAAATAGATATAGATAACCCAATTCATAATAAATAAACATACAAATTAAAATACATAAAAATAAATTACATTAAATAAATAAACAACTTAGAAAATAAATAACTTGGATACGAATGACAATCATAAATAAAGGAGAGAAATTTAAAAAGCTTAAAACCATGGCGTAACTGCGAATCTCCAGCGAAGTCATCAAGTTCGTCGTTCTTCAACATTTTGGGGACTTTCAAAATTTTAGATGGTGTCTCTTAGGGAAAAAGAATTCAAAAAAAAAAAAAGAAAGATGATTTTGGAGTCGTCACGTAGTATTAAAGGAAACTAGAAAACCTAAAAAGAACACTAAATTCAAAGATTTTAGGATAACGAGTTGGTTATGCCTTTAAAAAGATAACAATCACCCAAAAATATATATTCGAAGAAGGATATCGAGTTTATTTTAATCCTAAAAATATCTTCTAAAAATTATTTTTTTTACCAAATTATTTTTCAAGTCTATTTCTAAGTTTATTTATCATCTATGTCAAATTAATTTTTATTTTTTTTAGCGTCGTATTAAATTAATGTCGGACCTTAAGTTTTGAAGTTGCATTAGTTTAGCATCGGATCCAATCATGTCCTAACATGATCGATATGTCAAGGAATGACCTAATTAGTTAAATTTGTTTAAATTGATTTGATTAAAAATGGTCCAAGCTAACTCTTTATTATTTTTATTTTTTAGCATTTTTATTATTGGATAAAATATATCGAGACAATCATCCTTCCCAAATAAATAGAAGACTTGTTGGTCCGACATCACAATTGATTAAAAATATACACATTAAAATAAAATTTACAACGTAAATATTTTTATACTTTAACACAAATAAAATTAAATATTATTACAAAATAATATTTAAAATAATTAAAAAATAAAAATAGAAAATAAATGGTCATTAAAAAGTGACCAAAATACTTCTAAAATTATTGGAGATGACGAAAATGCCCTTTTGAGGATGAAAATTACCAAAATGCCCCTATAAATAAAATTACCAAAAAGCCCCCGGACGAGCTTCTGGAGATTACCTAAATGCCTCTAAATAGCTGGAGTCACATTTTTGCCCTTGAAATGCGACTATCACACATGACAAGTAGAATTACAAAGTCGTTACTCATGCATGACGACTGCGTACCGCTACGAAAATGATCATCGTTCATTATCTTAGTCATGGTTTTAGGTGTAAAAAAGCTTTCCTTATAGATAAAAACCTCCTATATTCGATCATACGGTTGTTGTCATCCATTTACACTTGTGGAGGGATATCGGAGGCAAAGAAGTTTTGGTTATAAGTTTTTTTCTTCCTCTCCTCGCTTGTTGCCACTATGGACATTAACGATCTCTATTATAGCCATATTTCAATAAGTGAAGTAGCCTAACTCATAGATATCGATCTCCTCTATCCATCCATAGGGGTGGTGTCTCCACCTCCACTTATCGAGGTAGATCATCTACAAAAACATTTTAATTATAATTATTTTTTTGCAAGTTTTGAGTATTTTTTGTCGGTTTTGAAGGGTTTAAAAGTTGAGAAAAGTGATCCGGAAGTTATGAGCTATTGTTAAATAATTTTTTTTTTTTTTGGGTAAGTTTTGGATTTTTCAGTTAGTCGAAATCTGATCGAAAATGTTTGGCCTATTGGCAGCAAGGAGGTTGAATTTTCAACCAGAGAGAGAGTTTAAGAGTAGAGAAAAGTAGGGGTATTTATAGGGGAGTTGTGGTTTTTTGGGTAAATCATATGGTTTTTTTTTTTTTTTTTTGATTTTTTCAATTGTATCCAAATTAACCTCAATTTCTAATCTTTTTATTTTAGGATATTCAATTGCACACTAAATTGATTAATTTCACTCATTTTTGTTCAATTGCACCCACCATTGATTAATTTCATTTGTTTTTCAATTATCTTCTCTTTTTCAATTTCTTCTCTTTTTTTTCCTTCTCTCATTTTTTTCTTCTTTTATTCTCTGTTTATTTTTCTTTTTTTTTCTTTTAATTAAAATTATGATATAATCCTAAAAATTAAAACCCTAAAAATTTATAAAAGACCTAAAAATCATGAAAAAAAATTTAAAAACTACACAACTTGTAATTTGTTTTTGAATTTTATGTAAAAATAAATTAAATAATTATGGAGATGGTCAAAAATCGGTTATGACATGAATTCTCAAAATTTTGGCATATGTATCCTCATGTAAATGCAAACTATCTACATACCTAGGTATAATCTTATGCCTTAATTTTATTGTGTTTGAATTTGTGTCTATTGTTAGAATCATATGTTATAAGTCATTTGATTACGGTGGTTTTTGGTTTGCTTTTTGTTTTGTTTGTGAGTTTCGATATAGATCGAAAAAAGGGATAGAGGTTTTGGTTTTTCTTATAATTTTGACCAAGCTGTTCCGAGTAGACCTAATTAGGATTTAGCTAAATTTTTAGAATTAATAAACTAATTAGGATTTAGTTAAATTTTTAGAATTAACAGAGAAGTGTTGCTATGTGGTTCGACTTGCGGTAGGGTTTTTGTTTGTGTTATTGCTTGTGGGTTGATTTCGACTTATAAATTTATGGATTAGTTTTGTATGTGATTGAGGCTTGTTGCTTGCCGAATTGTTACTTGTGAATTTCAGCTTAGTGGTTGTTAGTGATTGTATTCAGCATGTTGATTTTATTTGTGCTTAATTGGTGTCACCTATCCTAATTTTTCTTTACTTGTCCTCCTAGTATGCCTTATATGCCCTCCATTAAAGGTATTGTTGTGTTTTACTCAAAGAAACTGGTATATTCTTATACCATCAATACCTCCTAGCAATGGTGGATTGTTTGCTATGAAACGATATGATGTTAGTTTTTCCTCGTCTTTTTTTTCTTTTTTTTTTAATGAGCGTGTAGACCATGCCCCTTTTCTAGAGCCACCAAAAGTCTCCTCATTTTCTACTTGGCATCATGATTGTCATTTTTTATCTTCCATATAAGTTTTCCTAATTCTTCATTTTTATTTCTTTTTGTTTTTGTTTTTTTTTTCTATTTCTTTCCTTTTCTACTCTCATAGGCTACATTGTTTTAGTTTTTGGATGTTCACTTATCACCTTTGTGATCGTTCTAATTTCATAGGTGCATGCTTCCTTAAAGGTTTTTTTTTTTTTTTTTTACAAAGATATAATTTTCATTGATGGAAAATGAAAAAAAAAAAAAAGTTTCTTACATCATAATCAATGAAACCAATCTAAAGTAGTATCTACTAATAGAGAATAAAAAAGGTTTGGATGTCACTTTGGACGTCCAAAAGCATACATAGGAAATTTCACAAAGGAAAATTGAAATTCGATGTCTAATTTGGAGAAAAACAAGTTTCTCACCACAAAAAAAACTATACTACAAGAGGAAGTGACTTTTGGGACATATATTTTTACTCTAACAATCCATCAATAACTCTGCTATCTTAAAATCCTCCAATTGCTAGTCTTAAAATCTTCTAATTGCTATGCTCTTTGACCTCAAGATTTGAATATAAATCACCAACATCTTTGAAAAAATCTCATTTATAGTCCCTCAAACCCACGTAAAGAGCACGAACACAAACCAAAAAGAAAAGCCTGGCAAGGAGTGTGTGTATATATACACTACTAAATCAGAAATTATTGAAGAAAAGCCATAAAATTCACCGAGATGCTCACTAATATGATAAAAAGATGGTTCTAGAAAAGGAAAGAGAAAGAAACCCTAAAGAAAAAGAGAGTTTTTTTCCTTAAAAGTTTCCTTTGATTACTCGTGTTTAAGAAATATATTTTTACTTAGTAATGAAATTTATCCCTAACTTTCTATCCATTTAAAAGAATTTGTTAAACATCCATATGAGACATAAAAATAAAAAAATTATTTAAACACTAAAATTTTAAATATAATAATTTGATAATAAAAAATCAATTTAAAAAAGAAAATGAAAAATTGAATCCTATTTAAATTCAAATTAAAAAAAATAAAAAAATACTTGGTACAACATTAACAACAATTTTCTTGATTTTAATTTTACTATTATCATTTTAGTTTTTTTTTCTGAATTTTATTTCTTACTACCATTAATTTTTCTTAAAAAAAAGAGCAAATATATATATATATATATATATATATATATATATATATTGCATAATTGTTCATAATATATATATAAGGACCAAAACTTTCAAATAAAAACCAATTTGTCAATACAAATAAATATAGTGACTAAAATAAACTTTTTGAAAAAAGTAGAAACTAGAATGAAACCTTATGAAACACCTCCACCACCTTGCCGAGAATATTTGTAATCAAACAAAGAAACTTAATGCATCAATCCATTCCTTTACATTATATTTTTCATTCCATTACACAATTAATTGCATCATATTACATCACATACCAAAGAAGCTTAGTGGCTGCCTACCTTCATACTACGAGTTCCATTATTTATTGCACAGTATTAAGCATATAAATTGACTGTTCAGAGAATGACCAAAAGATTCTAAAAAACGGGAATGAATGAACCAAAGATAATAGAGACACTGACCCATTTTCTGCAAGACCCCTCTAAAGTTAGAGATTCAATTTAAAACTATAGATTGACAGAACATGGAAAGGCCCAAAGGAGAATAAAAAGAGGTGCTAAGATATGGGAGCAAATCTATAACAATGAAGAGTTTGTCTCTATTATTAGTTCATCGTCAGCATAAAATAAATGTCAGTCCTCCTTAGAATTTACAGACGACTCTGACACTTTTATGACGTACTAAAAAAGAATGAACAAATGCAGGTCATTTTCCTATATCATTGACAATTCTTCCTCTATCTACACCTCCTCCAACTGCTTCTATCTTTTTAAGGATTCAAAAAGAAACGAACAAGTGAAAGCAACTTTTCAACCCAAAAAGGTTAAATAAATAAGTCAAATGATAATCCTTTCCCTTTCCTATTCAAACTTCAAGCAAAACACGGGTTTTTATTGGTTTAAGCTTCAAACCCATGCTTTCAGGCGAGAGAAGCTCTGGTGAGATGCAAGAGGGGCTGAGGGGACTCCTGGGACTGTCGCTGAGTTGGCATGGCCTGTACAACCCATATCCCATGAAGAAGTACTCCATGGGTATCAACATTGCATGTGGCTGTTCTTCAGTTACCATAGATCCACAAGCCTGGACCTGTGCAGAAAGCAAAAACACCATTCTCACTTTTTTTTACTCAAGTGCTCATCAAGTTTATCTGTAACATGCAGTGTTAATTTTGTACAGTGACTAGTTTCAAGGTCAAGTGCTGCTGTCAACACAATGACACAGAATGAAATTCACCAATTACTCAGGAAATATCATCAGTATGATAGAGTTAACTTGCGTCTACAAGTTTCTTATAAACCATTCTATAATACTCTACACCACGCACCTCGACCAAGGCACTATATCTTCGATCCAACTTTGAGATCATGTGAAGTGCCTCAAAATGGAAAGGAGAGTTATCTCCTACGAATACAAGAGTGCGGCATCTTAGTTTCTTCAACCCACTAGTAATGTCAGGTCTCCTGCAGTTTAACAAACAAGAATTTCAACTTCAAGTATCTAAATTGAAGTGTACGTGCAGAAGAAGAGCAGAGAAATAACCATGGGAGAATTTCATACCGATTAATTGCTTGAAGAAACCGCAAAACATTTGTGCCCTGCCTCTCATCAAGCAACTGAAGGAACAAACAAATCACAAGAATCAAAACAGTGTCGCCCTATTAAAAGAAGCAAAATCAGATTAAAGCAAATGCAATTCAGGGGGAAATGGAAAAAAAAAAGAAAAAGAAAAAGAAGGCAAATGAAAAATTGAGCACTAACTCCTCTGCATGCTTGAGCTATGTCCGACTCTGGAACTTCAGCATTACCACAAACTTCCTGTTACCATTAATAGCTATCTCATTCATTCAACCTAACTAATGATGAAATATAGACTGAAAAACAACATAAATGGCTAGGACATAAAGCACTAGAATACCTTGCTGAAGTATCGCTGAAGCAAAAACTCCTTAAGCAAACCACACATACCATAGAAATATAACAAATTTGACATTACCTACAGAATATAAATGAACTCAAACATGTTTAGAAAAATATTGGAATTCTCTGTAAAACAATTATGCCAGTATTTGTAAAAATAACCTTGTTATATAACCATTCAGTCCAAGAGGGTGCTTTGCATAAGGGGGACACAAGTATCAAACCAAGAACACGCTCTCTATATTTCATCTGTAGTGCAAAATCTTGATCAGTTAAAAAGGTTGGATTCAGTTAGAAAATGTTAACATTCCAGAAGGGAACATACAGCAAACAGGGTTAGGATGTAGGCACCAGCTGTCACCCCCATGCACATCACTGCATCAAGCCTGGACAAAAAACAAAAAACAAGAAACTAAACTAGCATCAACTACATACAAGGATGATAACTTGCTTACATTTGATTCTCAAAACCAATTGACAGAAGAGTTCAAAATACCACTAGATAACAAAGAAAACATCAAAGCAACTTTACCTGAAATAGTTGAGAACCTCAATAATCTGATCAGCAAGGTCATCAACAGAAGGCAAAGGATCATCAGGACTAATCGGAGCAGCTCCCAACTGCAAGAACTCTTGTGAAAGTGCCAGAAAAGAAACTCTGTAAACAATTTGTTGGAAATGCAACATGTCGGCTGAAAACAAATGATTCATTAAAATAAGTTTAAATGCACTCAAGTCAACTAGCTAACTGACCTCATGACCTGGAGGACAAATGTGGTAAATGCAGAAGTTGTGTACGAGTAAAGACGCAACTTCAGGACAAAAGAATAGTCCTTGGAAACAAGACATATCTGACCAACAAATATAAATAAAAAGGAATGCAAACATTTTTAGAAAGCTGAAATGTCCTGTTTGAGGGATTAAAAAAAATGATGATGAACATCTCAGAAAAAATGAACTTCTCTAAAGCAAAGGCCTATGCCAGATACATTTTTAATAGTTAAATAAATAACATGCAGAAAAGAACGAAAAAGATATTACATTATGCACTTACAATTTAGAGCTAAATCAGGATAAGTAATTAATGCTGGCTTGTCTTGGTCTCCATAGACTATGACAGACACAGAACCACAGCCAGTTCTTACATGATGTTCCTGAAATAGGTTCAAAACCATACATACACATCACAAACAGAAGACAGAAAATTTTCTTGACTACCGATGAACCATAAAAAAGATTAATTTAGAAAGTGCTTCACTACCATGATGTTTTCTAATAACTTGTGTTACTTGAATAAAAAAATAAAAAAAAAGCCTTCAGTTAAATAAGAGCGCTGATTTGTTCCTGCTAACTCTTTCAACATATGAAGACTCTAACTTTAAAGACAAACTTATCCCATAAAAGCTTCCCATGTGCACTAAGCCCTTTTTGGTATCCCAAATGAACTCGATACGTGACATTAATAAAACTTGGCAGAAAGTAAGAAACAACAAATGAGTAGTTCCTGATTTCAATAATTGTATTCTTAGGGGGAAAAAAAAAAAACAATGATAGGTCAGAAAAGAACATGGAATATGAACACATTGACTTTAAATTGATACCAGAACTGATTTTGAAAGAAGTAACAGCTAGACATCTTAACGTAATAGTAATAAAAATTTAGCAAATCAAAGTATAACTAAGGTTTCTTCAATAAATTGCAACAGACTTCGAGGTTTTAACATATTGGCTTGGGGGTTTTGCCTACAACATAGGGTCTTGTTCTATTACCTAGGGTCTTGTTCTATTAGCAGAGCAGAATTATGGGCAATAAATATAGTCTTACATACTGATTGGGATATCGGTTTCAGAAAAATAGAATTGGAATTGGATTCTAAAGCTGCAATTCAGCAGAGTAACTCAAGTGCTGATCCCTGTAATGCTCATCTACTAAATTCTATTCAGCTACTGTTGCAAAGACCTTGGCAACTTAGAGTTACTCATGTTTATCGAGAGGCAAATTGTTGTGCACATTGATAGGCAACCAGTACACAATGTAAACAAACAAAGAAATTTCATGAGTTGGTGAAAACAATAACAAATTTAGCAAATAAATAAAGCATAGATCTAATAGATACCCAACATCCAAAATTGAACAAAAAACCCAATTCATGGAAAAAAAAATTCTAGCCAATACTTTCATTCCGTTTGTCAAAAAAGATAAAAATATCCAAATGGGTGTCGCTGTTTCATTCATGAAGATTCTTATTGTTCAAATTCACCAACCAAAGATACATCAGCTTGAAGTTGGCAAGAATCCCAAATGAAAACAAAAACAAATTTCATTAAAAAAAATATATATATATATATATCGAATAAAAAAAAACAAATTTCATTAAAAAAAAATATTGAATTTTAATGGTGCCCAGCGAAACAGAAATTGCCTAAAAAAATTGAACAAGAAAAGAAGACAAATCCAAAGGAAAGAAAAAAATTAAAAAACAAAAACAAAAACCTTTCCACCGAGATAGATCTTTTCCATGTCGACGGAGAAGGAATCGTTCGACTCAGCCATGGCCGTGGCTCTCTCTCTGTTTGTCTCTCAAGAAAGCCCCCTTCCACCCCAGAAACCTCAAATTTTCTTGCTCTGTATTTCTTCTCCCCTCTCGCTAAATTTTAGGCTTTGACATATTGCTTATTATATACCAGCCGAGTTTCTCTCTCTTATTATTTCTCTATCTAAATAAGGCATTTTTTTTAATCATATTTCTCAAGACACTGCATTTTTTAATTTTATTATCCAAAACAGCGTAATTTGTACTACGTATTCTGATGCGTGCAGAGAGGATCGTAAGAGGAATGGGTGATGAAAAGATAAAAACTTAATTCGTGGAAATGGATAATTAATTTTCTAGCTTGTTTATATGTTTGTTTATGAAAAGATTTAATAAAACTAAGGTGCTTGGGGCAAACATTCTTTTTTCTCAGAGACAAATGCACCATTGAGAAAGGTGCCAACCATGTAAGAAGCTGACCGTTTGGCCGTGGACAAACTTGTTTATGTAATAATTCTTTATAGATAATCCTCTTTTTCAACATACCAGATTTGTTGTTTGGTTTTTGTGTGGATGGAATAGACGCACACCATTGTTGAGGAAATTTAGCTGTTACATTAACACATGTCTGCAAGCTATAATAATCACTTTCTGTCAAATAAATGACGTAAAATAACGTATCCCTAATTCAACTTGAGGTTGTACATGGTCCTGATCAGACCGCTAGAGTACAGCACTAAACTGGCATATGCAACTGTTTATGATAATGTTTCTGTTCATGCATTCATTTGTGGAGTAGCAAATCTCAATGCATGATGACATGATTTGGTTATGTTCTTGAGTATTAATTTCTCATCAATGCTAATTATACGTCAATCAAACCAAATTTGTTTGTGGGTTAATGAGGGGTATTGGAGGGAAGAGAATGATTTAAATGAATTTGAGTATCTCCAAAACACAGCTAGCAACTAATCATAACATGCTTAAACAATGAAAGAAGAAAACATAATAGAAAATGAATTTTGCTGACTTGTAGTACTTGATATATAAATAGACCCTTTTGAAATTTCAATCTCATTCCAAAACAACCAGTTTCGATTCAGAAAAGTAAATAAAAAGTTCGTGGGATGAGGAGTTTACCTTCACAAAAATTATCAAGATCATCAGGGATAAGTGTGGAATAACATTGAATTGTTGAGTTTGGTTGGGAACTTGAATTGATGGTAGGACCCGAACCTCTACATCTATGAATAGAGGTTGAAATATGACACCCTTGACTCTCCACAAAGAATTGAAATATCTCATTATCAATCCCCCGATCTAGGAATACTGGAACCAAGTCCACATCTCTCATGTCAGAGACAGAGCTATCAACATCAACCCGTGTTTGTTCCATCAAAGAGGCACACCTGCATTCCCCTAATTTCCCGCTGCTGTTGCTGCTGCCTGATTTGGCCTTATTATCAAAACCCTTAAAGGTTACATTGAAAACCTTAAGACCTGAGGGGATGTTGGTCAGGTACCAGGTGGTGTTAGTGCAAGCAGACATATGAGGGATATGTCCTCATAATTTTATTATCAACAATTATTTGTTGGCTTTTTTTTTTTTTTTTTTTGGAGAATCGAAATTTCATGTTTCATAAATTCTTTCTCAACCCGTCAATATAAAGGACATATTGTAGTTGATATCCCTAGCTAGCTATGCATTTTCTAATATATTTGTGGAGGCCATTGTTCTATGTTAACTTTCATATTAGTACCTGGTGGTGATTTTTTCTATCGGGAAGGTCCCATTATTTTACGAGGTAGAACTGTCTTTGAGGATGTAACTCCAGAGTTGGTTAGAGATTTCTTCTAGGATGATGAGTTTCGACCTAAATGGGATCCGATGCTTGCTTACTTCAAAACACTTGAAGAATGTCCTCATACCGGAAGAATGTTTGTGCGCTGGATAAAAAAGGTATGTATAAATTGTGCACCAAAGTTCTATTTATTGACATCCTGTTTCCACTTTCTTGTTTGAACATGTTTCATGGACTAAGTAGAGGTTTGCTCCTCCAATCTGTAGTTTCCATTTTTCTGTAGTGATCGAGAATATATCATTGGTCGAAGAATATGGGATGCTAAGAAGACATATTATTGTGTTACCAAGTTACTGATGGAGATATTTCATAATTGTTGTTTGCTGTTGCCTTTTGTCCTCGTTTTGTTTTTTTCTTATTATTTTCAAGAGTAGGGCTCTATCTGTTTATTAGGGAGGAAGAGTTTGATTGGAGTTCTATGATTAGTTCAAAGATGAAATAGAGGCGTTTGGTAGCATAGAGGACTTGATGATATATGAAAACTGGATGTGTTCTTTGTTCTTTGTTGCCTATGTGTATTGGCAATTAGATTGATATAACATTTAAATCTCCCTTTTAGGCTGGATCTGAAACTTTTCTTCTTTGTTAATGTAGTATTAGTTTATCTAGCATTAGATGTTACCATGCCAATCTTTGTTGACATGGTAATCTACAACATTGCACAGGGGGTGCCTAGCTTATACTGTTTTCAGAGTTCACTACTACACATGCTTGCTTAGAATAACACAACTTAATGTGATTTTGATCAAATTAATATCAGATATGTCGTCGAGGATGAAACACAGGACTTGTAGCTTTTCTACTACTTCATCAAGTCTCAAGAGAATCCTAAAGAGGACCCTCTTTTGCTTTCGCTAACTGGTGGCCTTGGTTGTTCTTCCTTGTCTGCTCTTGCTTTTGCAATTGGTAAGAGAAGCGACCGCAGCTCACTCAATTACGGACAGTAATTGAAATGGACGAGCACTGATCCAAAACAGATATATATATGCATAGGTCCAATAAGTTTCGAGGTAAAGGAGTACAATGGGAGCTTACCTGCATGGGTCTTGAATCCATTTTCAAGGACACAGGTGATATTGCTTTTTGTACCGAACGAGAATTACTAGATTAGAAAGAGCATTTTTTATAATCTTAGACATGGTTGAGCTGGTGAATAATTTTCAGTTTTCCAACAAAATATTTGTAGATTTGCGTACTGGCACTGGATTCTCCTATGCAAGAAACCCACTTTCTTTTTTTTTTTTTTTTATTATTTTTTTTGAAATATTGATATTTTGTTGTGTTTTTTTTAATATTTTTTAGATATTTGGATTATTATTTTTCTTGTACTAGCATACTTAATTTTTACAATTATTAACTTCTTAGATCATTAATTTTCTCGTAATTAATTAATATTTGGAATTATTTTTTAAAAATTATTACAAATATTATCATAATCATTGCACTTGATTAAAAATATGTTGTAATTGGAAAAAAATCGATTGCAATAATATGCAAATTATTGTATTAAATATTTTTATAAACCATTGCATTACATATAAAAAGGGTTAACTTTTATATAGAAAAACCGTTGCATTAAAACAACCAAACTGCTACATAATAAAATAGAAAAACCGTCGCTAATAATTATAAACCACCGCATAATATATTATATAAATAATTGCATTAGATGATTTAAAACGTTGAGTAAAACATGTCAATAACCATTGCATATATTATTCGAACCGCCGCATACATTTTGACTAAACCGATGCTATATCATTCTTTAAACTGCTACAATTGAGAGGTATTATGTAACGAAATTTGTTCCATTGCTATTGTATATGGAAATACTCTCTCCATAACCCACCATCATCAACTCCACAAAAACTTCATAGCCACCACTATAATACCCACCAGCCTGGCCCCGAATCAACACGTCTTAAGCATCCATTACCGTCGTCGACCAGCAGCCCCTTTCCAACCCTATTATCGTCGATCAATAGTCCCTAAAGTATCCCAAAACCTATCGCGACCATTACACATGGACTATCCTTCCATTTCTGCCATTTAGCACCAAAGATAGCCCAAACCAAGCAGCCTAACGAGCAACCTAAAATAGCCACCATCTCCAACCTCACTCTAAGTAGCCTCCAAACTCGTCATAACGAGCCTAAAATCTACCAAATCAAGTCGTTATTGTCTAGCCCTTCCTTAGTGCAAATATAACCCCTTCAAGCATCCTCAATTACCATCATAACAACCCATTTTAGTAGCTCCCCTTACTCCCACAAGCCATATCCCCTTTCTAGCCCAAACCCATTAGCCACCACTACTATTCAACCTTTCAAAATCACCACCTAACCGCCTTTAAAACCCTTCAAAACCCATCTCCTCCGGACCCCAAAACCCCTTATATCAAAACTTCATTAAAAACCCAAAATCATCCTTAAAATCTAAGTCCTAATTGTTACCGTATGTGTCCAAGATCTAACCATGTTTGAATGAGTTTAAGTTATTGTATTATTGCATTATTTATTTTAATAATAAAAAAAATCTTGCTATTAATTTTTGTGTTTAGTAGAATTAGATAGAAGTCCTTATGATATGCATTTGTAATAGTGATCGATCGAAAGATGTGAGACAAACACTAATGCATATAAATGATATCATTCAACATCCTAAGTCATAGTATTATCAATAATGGATGTTGACTATATGTAGTTAAATTTATGAGTATTATACTCATGCTATATGATAGCAATAGATGATCTCACACTTATTGGTATGGTGGTACCAAAGCAAGTACTTAGATGATTTATGTTAAAGAACATATCACTAGAAATGACTCGCCATGAGAACCCATTTGGTTAAGTCTATGAAAATCTCATACGAGATAGGTATAAGTGGTCCTTAGACTTGAAGTCATCACGCTTATCTCATTAGAGGATTTATACGCTTTGATACTCGTTTTGATAGAACCGAGTAAAGGGTTGCACATGGGCGATTCATTGAGTGCACTAGGAATCTAATGGATGTAGGTGTATGATTAAGATAGGAGATGTCATTTCTTGTATGTTAAAAAAGTTATCACATTGCACTTCGATACATGTCTCGCTCGTAAAATCTATGACCATAGTAGGAGTACACCAATAGAGTATAGTTACTTTACTCTAAGAGCTAAAACATTTGGGAATAATAAAAAAAATTATGTGATCATAATCAAACAAGACTTATAACCAAATTCGAGATCACACTATGATAAGTTGACATAAAGATGGAATTATATGATAACCATACTCGTGAAAGGTAATAATGGATTAATTAATCCTCCTAGATAATTGGGTGGTCATGATACCTTACTAGAGGCCAATCTTGATTTATATATCAAGAGATAAAAGAGGAGTCTTTTGTTCTTGATAGATTGTCAACATATCTATAAGCCTATCGAGTCACACACATAAGTTTAAACATGGTATCTTGATGTGTTATTGCTAATCTTGCTACTCTAGTTAACAATATTGCTTTGTCTTTATTGGAGGATTGAAAAATGGGATAGAGTAAGCAAAGGAAGAGAGAAAGAGGAAGATATTAACTTATAGGTGTTAACCTTCCCTCTCTAGTTGACAACATATTTTATCTTCATCAAGATTTGAAGAAGGTCACACCATCTCTTCCCTACTCATTAAAGCTTGTTGGAAGGCTTAAGAATGATTTTGACAACTTTTAGAATCAAATTTCCACCAAAGGGTGGCTTTATCATTTGGCCTCAAAATGTGTTTTTGACATTTCTAAGGAAACACCTTGATCATTTTCATCGATCAAGTACATTTTTGACACATTCATAGTGCTTTTATATTATCATTAAGTTCAAATGTAAATGGATGGATATTATGAATAAATGTTATGTTTATTGGATTAAATGTGATATTTGAAATATGGTTATACACCGTTGCATATCGAATCTAAAAGGGCTTGAGACCCTAGGTACTTTTTAGAAGAAATAAGGTTGGTGTTTAATACTCTATGATGGAGTTGGAAGGATTGGACATGGGTTATAATTTCAATGATTTTTCCTAAAGCAAATATCGATCTTAGTGTATGTAATTTAGCATGTTGTATTACTTGTGTGATGTGATAAGTTAAATATGATGTTTTGTGTTATATTTCTTGTGTAGTGTAGCTTATTAAATGTGATGTATAAATATGATATGTGTGCATATGTGATGAAATAATCAATCTCAACCATGAAGGTTGACGTCATGTTTTGTATGAATAAAATAAGATGTGCAAATGTGATGTGTGTGTATGCGATGAAGTGATCAATGTTAACCATGAAGGTTAACGTTGTGTTTTGCATGAATGGATGTGATGTGTAAATGTGATGTGTGTGTATCTAATAAAGTAATCTGTGTCAACCATGAAAGTTGATGCCATGTTTCGAATGATGAATGAATGAGACGTGCAAATATGATGAGTGTGTTGTCATAACCCAAATGTTGGATTGCAATTTTTTTGTTTAGTTAAATTAATTTTTCATTTTATAGGTTATTGTAGTTCGGCCTTTATTCCCTCATGTTATGTTATTATTTTTACTTTACCTTTATTTACTTTATTTTAGTATTCATCATAAAAAATAATAAAATTATTATTGAAATTTAATTTCAAAAAAAGAGGGGAAAAAAAAGAAGAAGTTAATTTTATTTTTAAGGATTCAATTTCCCTTTATTAAAATATTATGGGCCAATTCATAAATACTAGAAGATTTGAGAAACAATTGAAAAGAAATTAAGGGCTAATTAGAAACAATTGAAGCTAGAGGGATCAAAATAATTAACTCAAAAGACTTAATTGAAGAAAAATTGAAAAGAACGAGGATGAAGTTGAAAGGAGCTAGCAAACGATAAGTCAAACTTGACTATTTGGCAATGAAAGAACTATCGTCCATTGCCTTAAATTATAAGTGTAATCCACTATTCCACTCCTTCCTTAAGAAAGAGTGAACAACGTTATAACCAAAGTATGTTACAGTTTGTAACAAACTCCTCAACTTCAAAAGGATTCCCAAGCAAGGTCATCGATCCCACGATTCTTGCCCCTTTTAGTGCTGCACCAAAGGAAAAAAAAAGACTTTAGAGAAAAAAAATGTGATGAGGAGGAAACCAAAAACCCAAAAAAAATAAAAATCAAATGGAGAGAATGGTTTCGAATGAAGGGTGTAGATAGGAAAAAGAAGGGCTATATAAGAAGGTGATAACTAGAAAAAATAAAAGATTAGAAAGAGCAAGAAAAAAATAATGAGAGAAAGAGAGAGAGAGAAAGGAAAAAAAAACAATAGTGAAGGAAGAAAAAGAAAAAAACAAAGAAAATGGAAAGAAAAAAATTATGACTATGAGATTTATTGTGATTGTCAAGCTCTCTTTAGGTTATAACACAATCTAGGGGTAAGGAAAGGAAGATTAAAGGAGGATTAAGAGGAAGAAGGTTGAAACGGTTTGAAATTGAAAACAAAGGGTATATTTGATTGAGTTAGTGGTTCTCCCCTTTCATTCCATCTTCAAACTCTCATTTTCATTCCAATAATCCTCTAACCCATTCCGATGTTATTTTGTGCGACGCATGCTTTATTTTGTTTTTTGATACATTGAGCAAGTGATAATGACTTTGTCAAACTTCATGAAGTTCCTAAATCATAGGTGCTTTTGTGTTTTTTTTCTTTGGTATGGAAACAATGATGATAATACCTAGGCTCTAAAAAAGGATTTTGGAGAGGATAGTTGAGAGGTTATGGATAAAGGTAGTGGGAAGGGTTAATATACTATTTTAAGAAAGCAAATGAATAAGAGAGCGAAAGAGTGAGAATGAATAGTTTGATCGAAAAGTAAGAAAAGAAACAATTAAATTTTGTTTCTAGATTAGGCCTTAGTCTAGAGGAAAACATGTGGGCAAGCCCAACCCATGCTCGAACGAGATCAGGTCGGTTTCGATCCAGCCCGTACCCACCCATAACCAAAAAAAAAGGGCAAATAAAAACTGGAATTAGTCCAGACTTCACCCTAAAAGAAAAAAAAAAAGATACAAAGCAAAAAGGGAAATTGGAATTAGTCTAGTTAAGAGAAAGAGAGAGAGAGAGAGAGAGAGAGAGAGAGAGAAGAAAGATAGGAAAAAGGGAATAAGGCCTAGGCCAATGGGCTAAGTGGCCCAATATTTTTTTTTATTCTTTGATTTTAGTTTTTTTAATAGAAAATTTGAATCTAAATATTTTTCTTTATCTATGCATTTTTATTTCATGAATTAATTTAGATTTAATTTTTATAGATGCTTTGGAATTTATTTAGTTAATTTTAAATTTTTAAATTTATTATTATAATTAGGTTATGTAATTAATTAATAAATGGAATCTTGAGTCCCCTAATTTTTAGGGATTGATAATAATTTTTTTTATTAACACACAATAAATATAAAAATAATAAATAAAAATAACAATGCCAAAAAAAGAAGAAGGAAGAACTTTAGACAAAAAAATAAAAAATTAAAATTTTTAACAAAGTCTCCTATATGAAAGGGCCTATTGTTAGCAAAAAACAAAAATTTATTAAAACTAAAATTCTTAACAAAATCTCTTATCCGATAGGGACTGGTGTTAGTAAAAAAAAAAAAAATCATCATTTTAATAATTAAGACATTATTCGACACATCGATTGTGTCACGACTTAAAATGGATTCAATGTTTGAATTGACGTGTCTTTCAACGATTGGTTCGATATGATATCACAATTAAAAAAAAAACTTAATTGGGCTTAGAAAAGTGGAGTTCAAGTCAAAAATAATTTGGCACGAATAAAATACCTTAAGAGATGAATTTTAGAACTAAATTAGATGTGATATCTTTCTTGCAAAAAAGGTGCTTTAGGTGATCGATATCTTTTCAAAAAACGTAATCAACTCTTTACCTTATAATCTCCGATCCGAGTGTTAGTTATATATTTATAGTTCTCACAATATTAAGTGGTGACTTCTAAAATAAGTGATAACTCATATCCTAAAAAATCATAAATACGCTTAAATAATTTTTTTTTTCGAGAGTTTCATTCGATGTCGGATAGTGACATGTGTATGCAATGAGGTGATTGGTGTCAACATTAAAAGTTGACATCGTGTTTCGCATAAATGAATGTGATGTGCAAATGTGACATGTGTATATGCGATGAAGTGATTAATGTCAACTACAAAAGTTGACATCGTGTTTTGCATGAATGGATGCGATGTGTAAATATGATGTGTTTGTATCCAATGAAGTAATCGAGGGTCAACCACAAAGGTTGACATTGTGTTTCACATGAACAAATGAGACATGCAAATGTGATTTATGTGTATGCGATGAGGTGATCGAAGTATGGTCCATTAAAGATTCATTTAGCTTTAATATCATGCATTGTCTTTGTAATGCAATAAAAACATTGACTTGGTGAGTTTGGAGTATAGCCCGTTAACGATTCATTTAGCATTTTCTATTAAATTAAAGCAGTGTAAATAAAAAAAAATACTAAACTTTATTCAACTCAAATCTAATCATCCAAATATGGATGATGTGGCACAAACTTAGTGGTTAAAAGCCAACTTTATTTTATTTGAAATACTAATCTTTAAACTATGAGGAGATTTCAACTGTCGATATTTAACAAAACCTTTAAACTTTTTCTCCCTTCTCTCGTAACTCTCTTACGTGCCAAACATTACATATACACCATCTGTATGAACTTAGACCTCTCTCTTATATGCCAGTCATTTGTAACTTACTAGTATTGGCTACTCTTCTTCTCATTCTCTCGCTATTTACTACCTCTCTCTTGTGTGCTGATTTGTTTTTAAATTGTTCTCAAAACTTCTTCCACCGAAAATTAATTATTATTTTTTTCTTTTATTTTTCTGATTTTACGATTTAAAATAGATATATTTATTTTTTGTATATACTATATAAGACTTGAAATGTTTCAGTATATGGTAGGAATTACGGGTAGATGAAAAAGCTTTCTCTGGTTTTCGGTCAAATAAAGACTTAATCAGGACCATTTTGAAAATAGGAAGATGTTTAATCAAGACCATTTAGAAAACAGAAAGACGTTGAAACAAAGTCAATAGTAAAAAAAGAATCATAAACGTTTTAACCAAGTCAGAATCATGGGTTGAGCTCCACTTTTACTTAAACAGAAAGAAAACAGCGCATCAAGGACCATCTTCTTCGTCCAGAAATACGCCGGGAACGGGAGGGCATGGCTGTTGGTGCGACTGCCAGATTGAGGAGGGAAGACTGTAAGAGAACCAAACACGACTCCAACTTCTGCAAATGGCAGGTTTGATCCATCCATCTTTACACTATTTGTTACTTTGTTAGTTTCTTGTTCGGCGTTGAAATTGGGCTGTGGCTTCTTTTCTTATAAGAAAACTAGTGTTTTAGGCTGCTAGCAAATGGAATCTGGGGTCTTCATAATTTTTTTGCTAGATTAGTTTCTAATGGTTCAGTTTGAATACATTGATTCTTTGTATATATGCTTCAGCTTCTCATCGGCCCTTCTGATTGGCAAGACTATGTCTTGGGGATGGAAGGAGCGTCTCGATATAGGGTTCACAATCTTCCTACTACTTCTGGTCCGGGACTATACGAGCTTGGTATTGTTGTTTCTCGTTCTAGGCTTTCGGGCCGTGATGTTGGCAAGCTTGTCCCAGATGACATAATGGTGGTTTACCTTGGGCAAACTGACAATGTCAGAACCCGACTCCAGCAATACGGCCGTTCAGGTGCCCATTTGGGTAATACTTACTCAACTGCTAATGGGAATGATTCTAAAGATGATTCTCTTCAAAAAGGGCTAGGTTTATTTGAGGAGATATTCTCAAGAGGCCACTCCATTGTGTTTAGATGGGCTTCTGTAAGTATTGCTTTTTACTGTAAGAAAAGCTTATATTAAAATTTTTCACTTATATGTTAATGATAAGAACATAGCGGCAGATGAAATTAGGCTCTGAATAACCATTTAGGTTTTAAACGTTTGTAAAATTATTGGGACAAACATGTTTTTCTAGGATCAAACGTTGTCCTAAAGAATTTCCGGTCTTCTATTCAATTACTTCATTGAATTAGATGTCTAAGATTTTTATGGTTTCCGTTCTTTTCTGTGATTGGTAGTTATAAGAGCACAAAAGAGGAAGGGAGGTAGTACTCAATATCCTCTCTTTTAGAGTTCTAGGCTTAAAAGTTGACTTGCGGGGGGGGGGGTGTGAAATCATGCATATCCACAGTATGTACATACAAGTTAAATCTATATACTCCATCTACAACTGTGTGCCTGCAGTATAAATATTTTGGCATCTAAGAGGGATACTTGCAAATTTTTTTTGCATATAAATTTGGAAATGTATTTCATCTTTCTACGCTATTTTCTCCCGAATGTTTAACAGATGAAATATAAGAGTGATGCTGAGAAAACGGAAGGTCAGCTGCTTGACAAGTTTGATTATGCATGGAATAAAGGTAGTAATGGTGCACGCCGTCCCAGTGATATCCTTCAGAAGCTCAATAAAATTAGTTCAAGCACTACCAAACTTCCAAATATTTTCCAAAGGCTTCCATTTTCCAGTCACCGCGAAGCAGGTATTAAAATCAAAGCGAGCACGCCTCTTTCACCAGAAAACTGCACTGGTTTTGGCGATGAGGGCACCCAAAGTTTCTTCTCTGGAATTTTTAAGATCAGCAGATCACAGCCTAGATTGGTTACAGATAAATATGGCATTAATGAGGACTTCATTCATATATGTGGATACATCATGATTGATGGTATACCTTGTAGAAGGCCACCAGTTCCAGGGAGAAAGAGATGCGAGGAGCACAAAGGGAGGAGAGTTTATGGATCCAGTTACAAATCCATCAAAGAAGGAAATTTACATTATCCACATGGTGCAAATCTAGATTCCAGAACTCTCAATGACCAAGAACATGAAACTGCATGTGGGGTGAATTTAGGTGATGGGACTTTTTGTAGGAGGCGAGCTGTGGCAGGAAGGAAAAGATGCAAAGAGCACAAAGGGATGCGCGTTAAAACTTCCAACTCAGAGCCAGCAGCAGAAGACAAAATCCATATGCCTGCCCTCAGTTCAGTATTCAGTTCTTTTGCTGACAGCATAAACAACAATGCCTCATCAAAACATAAGGTAGACAATACCTGGCAATGTGGGTCTTCAAACAATCCCGTGAAGGAACATTTTCCTGATATTTGTGGAGTAACGTTGGGGAATGGTTCATTCTGCAGAAGGCAACCCGTTCAAAACAACAAAAGATGTTGGCAGCACAAAGGCAAGAGGGTTGATTGTGCCTTGTCTAAGTTTAGATAGTTCCCTCGCTGAGGTTTGATGCATCAACTTGTGAGGATCAGTTACATAATGGTTCTGTCTGTTTGAGGGCCCCTGCTCATGGGAGGAAGAGATGTGAGCAGTTTAAAAGGAAGAGAGTCTCCACACCCTTCACTCCCGAGAGGTATTTGCAGAAATTAGATTATGGTATGCTATATTGCAAGGACATCGTAGGCTTCTGAATAATTTAATTTGTAGCATGTTGTCCTTGATATGATTGCACAGAATGGCACTAAAGGATCCATAATAGCCAATTCCATCTACTTTGGGTTTGAACCTTAGTTGTTGTTGTAACATGGTGTCTTTGAGAAATTAGGGCAATGTTTGTATTTTCAGTTGCTTCGCAAGGTGCCTTTGTACTGTTTTTGTAAAATGTGTTGCCATGAAATATTCATTCCCCGAATTTCCAAAATACATCAACAGTCAAATTTCACTGCACTGGCACTGCCATTGAAGCCATTGGCTTTGAAAGAAAACTGGAATCAATTGAAACCAAATAATTCTAACAAACAGCTACTTCAGACTCTTTAAGTCTACAAGCTCCTTTACCACTTCAATAGAACACTTGTGAGTTTGTTTCACAAGTGCTTTCATACTTCCATTTCCACGAGACTCACTCCTTACTTTAGAGGATTTGAAACTCCAAAAAGATTTATTAGAACAAACCAATGCACCATTGACCCCACGAACACTAGCATTGCGAGCAAACCAAGCCACCCTATCCAGGGGAATAATAAAACATCGTTATTTACTAGACTTGCTGGTTGAAAATTCTATTTTTTGGTGCACATCGAATGAAAAAGTAGATTGAAAAGATGCCTAATCCCTACAGAAATTCAAACACACAAATATAAGTAAAGCACCAAAATCTATTTAAGCCAAAACACTCCAGCAATAAATTCAACCTCCAAATCAGCTCCAAGCAATCCATCCAAACCAAACCAAATCACTAGCAGAATCCGAAGCTGGGAAACAAAATTTCAAAACCCCACCAACTAGAGTTAGACCAATCCCTAGGCTACACTAATCAGAATGAGCTGAAATTTTAACACAACCTAAGGTCTAGTAGATTATGTGTAATAAAATTCAGGTGAATCCTACACCTATAGACCCTTTTTTCAGTTTGTTGAAATTATGTGGCAGAATAGGTTCTAAAATTTCAGCAATGTTCAAACAAGCCGAAACCCTATCAAATCTTTTTATTTTTTTATAAAATTCTAAATAAGGCCTAATCATACATAATAGAAAACACTATCCAAATTTCAAATCAAATAAAATTTCTAACCTTGATTATTAGCTTTTAGGCCGAAACTGTTCGATCCCAAAATTTAAGTTGTTCTTCAATATAACAATCCAAACAAATGGTGCAAGCACAATAACCCTCGTAAAGATAGAGTCTACAACCCAAATTAAAGAGCAAGATAAAATAAAGATACGCTATGGGAAAGAAAAACAGACTTCAATTGAACACTATTGCTTAAAGCAATTTTCTTTTATTTTTTAAAAGTTTTAATGGTTCCAATGCGATTTTTTCTTTCATCTTTCCATATGTGTCCCCTTTCAAAATGAAACACGTGGAATAAATATTAATAATTACTGTGAAAATACTCTATTATTATTTTTTTAATTTTATATACAAAATTTCCGCACAAACACATAGCATTTACTATTTTCATGAAAGTCCAGTAATTTTAAATTCGTAGGACTCATTCTATAAAAATAAAAATCCATGACATTTACTTTTTATCACTTGAAAATTGACACATCACTATGTATGAAAATTTCATGTGAAAAATTTTCTTTTAAAATTATTTTCTTATACAAAAGGTTTCTGTTCGGGCAAATCTCAAATACAGTGTGGCAGTATCAATTTTATATTTAAACTATTTTTTGTGTCAATTTTATTAATAAATTATTTTATAAATAAAATAAATAATAATCAACCCATTTAATAAAATAAAAAAATAAAATAAAGATAGGATAAAAGGCTTATAAACTTTAGGCCATGTTAGAGGGGAGACTCTCCTGTATCAGATATGCCAACAATTGCATAATAAGATTCAAACTCTTCTCCTATATAAAAGAGAACACTATGGAATTGAAAAAAAAAAAAAAGTAAATAGTTCAATATGTTTTTATATAATAGTTTGAGTTTTCAATTTATCCTTAAATTTTTTGATTATACATATTAAATTTCTAAATAATATTTAAGTCTTTAATATGTCTTTCCAATCAATTTTTCTAATCACAAACATTATTTTATTTTATTAAAATGCTCCTAAATGAAATGAAAAACATTCAGGTCATGTGATTATATATATATATTAAGTCATACTGATTTCGCAAAAAGATTTGATTTAACCCCTCACGTTGTTCCTGTTAATACTCTACCAGTATATGGATTTCTGTTGTAGAACAAGTACAGCCCTTTTGGGATTTTTATGCAACTCAAATATCTTGTTTTGTAAATAGCGTTTGGGATTCATAGCATTTCCTCCACTTAGTTTTATGTTCTATTTTTTGTTTTAACAGGGCTCATCGAGTTGCTCACAAGCGGACTCAGTCTCGTAGTCTACTGGCATTAGCATTACACTATCTAATCTCTGATACCTTTGCTACCCATATGCACCCAACAACAAAGATGGGGAACAAAATACTTTTTGATCATGCAACTAGCAGTGGTTGCGAACTATGTGTCTATTTTACATCATGTTACAACTGGAGGAACAAGGAAAGCTTGTGGGGATCGACAATCCAATACCGGAGATGAGGGTTGACTGGAGCAGGTGCGACCATTTTAGGGAATGTAAAGAGTGGGGAAGGAGCAATGATTGGAGTAGGTTCAATAGTGCTGATTGATCTGTCCCCTCTGAAATATCCCGGAAGAATAATGGGACCAAACAAAGGCAATTTGGCATAAAGCAAGGCCCAGCTAAGGATGCACCTCACCAAGCATCAAGGATGGAGGCTCCCCACGTCTGGAAGCATCCCGAATGTATTATAGGAACCGGTTTCGTGACCTATAACCAAGGGATTAGCGGACATAATCACCATAAAAAAACTCGAACCGCCCATATTAAATAAAAGCACATTCCAGCCACCTTTCTTGTTACATCAGCAATATCCACGTCATCACTGCTGTCATGGTTCCATTTTTACCCTCCACACAACTAAAATAAAAATCAGGGAAAAAACAAAAAGATAAAAAAGAAAGGATAAAAATAAATAAAATTGAGAAGTGGGTTTGGATAACATAGGCATGCATTGCGCCCATGCCTACCCAAGTGTGACAAACTTCAGATCTAAAACCCAAGCCCAATTCAATCTTGTTAAAATTTTTTTTAAAATGGAAACCCTAAGAAACCCAAGTTGGACAATATAAATACTCTACCTCGTTTCAAATAGAGATAAACACATTTACCTAGCAAAAGAATATACTGAACAACCACAAAATAATAAAAAATAAAAATAAAAATAAAAGAAACCTAACAAACAAAACAAAATAGAAGAGAGGAAGAAGACACCATTGTTCATCGATCGTCGCTCTACTATATACATGCATCTAACCTCTATAATCGTTTGGAGGAGAAGGTCATGATGCTACTAGAATGAAGGCTATCAAACCTCCATGGAGCCCATAAGCGTTGTCGTTGTCTCCGTCGTCGGTTGTGTTTTTTTCTTTTAGTTTGGTCCTCGTAGTTCATATTGTGCTAATTAAACCCCTTCATTTTCAATATTGATTTGATTTTCATGCGAATTTGATATATTACATGATTATTTGATTGAACCATGTTCTTGTAATAATAATAATTATGTGATTAATAAAATTTTAAATGATTTATTGAATCAAAATTACTTGATTTTAAACCTAATTGATAATAAAATAATTTCAACGCCTTGATTGCACTAGCTAGTGTTGTTAAACGAAATTTGAATTATGGAACTAATTTTGTTATTGTTCCTACATTATAGTTTTTAATTTCTCTTATTCATTATAATTTAGTATCATATTTTTAAATCAAGGTAACAAGTCCCTATCCTTTATTTTATTTATTAACTCTTGATTTTATTACTTGATTTGACAATATTATGTTGATTTCTAATGACTTTGGTTGATTTAGTGTTCAATCAAATGGATTTAGAGGTTGATTAATACGGTATATCATTAATTAAATAGATTTTTCTTTCATGTTCTTGTAGCATTTATCAATACCTACGAAATTAATACGGTGTATCATTAATAGATTCGGGAAGTAGAAATTGGCATCCTAAGAAAGTGCACACTAGTACTACCTAAGGCGGTGTGCACTTGTGCAATTATGCTACTTTATCTTTGTACAATATATATAAAGAGTCGAAATTAGAGCTTTTTGAATCCTTAAAAACAATTATACACACACACACCCCCATCCAAAAGCACCTTAAGCAAGCACTTTATCGAACACACTAATAGAATCACATCTCGGATTTGGGATATTTGAAAATTACTTCCTTTTTCTTTATTATTAGATACTTGATAATTACTTTGTTGTTGCTCAATTGATCATGTTTCAAATAATTGGTATGATTTATGATTGGATCTTGGACAACTACACTAACACTAGGATCTATATAAATATACCCAACTTAGAATGCTTAAGATTTCCTCTTCAATCTTTATGAAGGCTTCTTTTTTATTTGAATACTTTAAGGCTATCAAATTCTCTTTCTTTCCTCAAAATATCAAGTAAAAAAATTAAAAAGAAAAAATAAAAAAATATAGATAAATGACCTAAAATTTCGTAAAATTTTAAGGATTTGAAATTTTTAACTATGTTAGAGTTTATACATTTTCTATCATGCTCTCCCTATTAGAGAAGAGTTTGTTAATGTAGGTACCTAAAATCTAACCTTAGTTAGATGGTTTGAGTTATTGTAACATTGCATTATTTAAATGATATCATTAAATGTCCCAAGTCATAGCATTGTTAAGAATGGACATTGACATTATGCAATTAGACTTGTGAGTGCTATACTCATGCTATATAATAGTAGTAAGAGATCTCACAACCATTGGCATGATGATGCCAAAGCAAGCACGTAGGTGATTTATGTTAGAGAACATATCATTAGACTTGACTTACCATGAGAACCCATTTGGTTTGGTCTATGAAAATCTCATACGAGATAGGTAACTAGTCTTTTGACTTGACGTCATCATGGTTATCTCATTAGAGGATTTATGTACTTTGAAGCTCATTTCGATGGACCCGGTAAAGGGTTATACGTGGGTGATTCATTAGGTACAATAGGAATCTAATAGAGGTAGATGGATGACTAAGATAGGACATGTCATTCCTTGTATGCTCAAGGAGTTATCATATTATACATTGATAAATATCTATTCAAGAAATCTATGGTCACGGTAGGAGTACACCAATAGAGCATTGTTGGTTTACTCTAAGAGCTAAGACATTTGAGAATCGAAGAAAACTTATATGATCTTAATCGAACGGACTAATAACCAAGTTCGAGATCACACTATGATAAATTGACATGTGAACTAAATTGTATAGTAATCATATTTGTGAAAGGTAATTGTAGATTAATTGATCTATCTAGAGAATTGGGTAGTAATAACATCTTGCTAGAGGCCAATTTTGATTTATGTGTCAAGAGATAAAAGAGGTGTCTTTTATTCTTAATGCATTTTCAATATATCTTGGAGCTATTGAGTCATATACATAAGTTTAAGTATTCATAATAGAAGAGAAACAATGATTGTGGAAAAGGTTTTCAATTTTGAAAGTTTTCTCGTTTGAAAAAAGGTTTTTAAAAATAAAAAGTTTTCTAAAATGGAAAGTTTTCTATTTTAAAAATCAATTTCCTAATTTGAAAGTCAGTTCCAAATTTAGAAGTAAGTTACCTAAAAAGAAAACTAGTTTCTTAATTTAAGTTTAAGGGTAATTTGGAAAATTATTTTCTAATATGGGTCTCTTAAAAAATATCTATCTTAATTTATTTGGATAGTCAAAATTAATTAGTAATTAATTATGCCAAAAGAGTTTGGGCCAATAGGTTTAATTAAAAAGCCTACAAGATATTTCGATGGGAGGATAAACATGAACCTTATTAGATAAGGATCAAGGTTTTAAAGGATAAGATCAAAAAGCCCATATGCATAATAACTCCTAATCCTTAGAGGATTAGGAAGCAACAACCAAGAATTACTCCTAATCCTTAGAGGATTAGAGAGCAATAACCAAGAGTCCTTTGAGGACTCATTATCACCATTTTCTTGTCCTTGGAGGACAAGGAAGACACTCTCCCTATAAATATAAGGGGAGGCGCGGTAAAGAGAGAACAAGCTAAGGCTATACGGTAAAAATAAATAAAAAGGGGAAAAAAGTTTTCTTCTTCCACATGCACATGCCACCTCTCCCTTCTCTTTTAAGGTTGTCACAAAATATCCCTGAATTGATTTTGAAAGAGACAATACTAAACAAGTTAGAAAAAATGGAGCTAGCATTCTACTACTTCGAGTGCTTCTTGTATGGGTGCTTAGATTGCATCGATTATTGATAGAGGCCGGACTCTTGGATGACTTCTTTTTTATAATGGTTAAATTCTATCCTACAAGAGGTAATCCTTTACTTATGCTTTAATTTATGTATGTATGATTAGTTGATTCAACGAACTTGATCTCGGGATCCTTAGATGGAGAAATTTTTTTTGTTTTATTTTGCACCTTTATAGGATGTTTGATCCTTTAGAGTTAGCCTCGACATCTTTTTCTTCATCTTCTACATCTTCTTGGTAAGGAAAAAGATCAATCTTTTTTAATATGGCTAATATAGATGCTCTAGATAGACTAACCTTGTATGAATCCTCGCCCACTCTTTGCTTTACTCAAAATGGATACTCCACTTCATTAGACTTAATAAATCTACTTCATGCAATCTGCTTCTCCCTCATATAAATCCACACCAAGTCTCCCTCATTGTAAGTTATTTTAGTTTGGAATCTAAAGACCCAAATCTATAGTTCCTTACTCTCTAAATTAGCATGGTTGTCATTTGAAGTTTTGTTAATAAAATCAGCAGTTTTGATACAATGCTTAGCCTTTCCTTTCCCCCAACCACCTACACATCTTTTTACAAGTAGCCCTTCTAAGGTGATTCAGTTTTGTTATGATAGCAATAGCTCCAAAATAGTCTTCCTTCTTCTCGACAATAATATGAACTCTCTCGGTAGCAACCCAATCTATCTTGACAAGCATTCTAGCCATTTTGTAACATTCTCATCATATGTTATTCCAATTAACACATGTGTGACAATAGCTCCATTCTAGATAGAATCATTCCCTTCAATGGTAACTTCCTTCACATTGTAATTCATTTCAAAACCATCAATCATTTTTCCATTTTTAACCATGTCATGATGCACGATTGAAATCTTCCTATCTAATCTAATATTAGTAACATATGAAGGATATAAATCATCATCATTAGAGACATTGAAAGATCATACATCCTATAGAGGTGTAGATTAAAATAAATTTTTTCTTTCGTCTAAAGCTTCCAACATTAAGCCGTTAAATCAACTAATCATACATACATGAATTAAAGTAGGAGTAAAAGGATTAACTCTTATAATGTATATTTTCACCTTTATAGAAAATGAGTTGTTTAATGTTTTCTCTTTAAAAATCGATTCAGCGATATTTTACAACAACCCTAATTGAGAGGGAGATAGGTGGTGTGTTTTTGAGAGGGAGAAAAGTATTTTCTCTATTTTT